TGAAACATGGATATAAGAGAGAGTGTTAACAGGTTTTTCGCTTGGAAAGACAAAACTGCTTTGAAGAAGCCTTTCGTAAGCTCTACTTCTCGTGTACAGCAAAAGGTGGTTGACGAAATGGTGGACACACTTTGGAGTGATAAGAGAGCTGAGGTCTGGCTTGCTTTGAGAAGGTTTGAGGATTTGCAAAGAGTTTTTCAGGTTTTTTCAGCTTTGAGAGGCAGCTTTCCGTTTTCACAAGCTTAGAAAGTGTTTTGGCGGCTTTGAGTGAGGTTCGAAAGCAAACAGTGAAAAGCGTTGTTTTTTCATTGGCGGCACGCGCTTCTTTTCAACCAAATTTTACTCACCGCGCGAAACGCCACGCCCGGCTAAGTTTTTGTGGTTTGCTCATGATTATCCATTGCTTCCAGTTGTGACGCTTGTCTCATGTTGCATTTCAAAAAGACTTTGGACATCTTTGGAAAGCTCATTGAAATTGATTGTGATGTGTGTGGTTTCAAGTTTGTCAAAGTGTGCATTTCCCTTGATGACTGGTACTTGGGAAATTTCTGGAGTGCCCAAGCCCAGAAAATCTTGGAGAATTCCTGGAGTGCCCAACAAGATAAGCAGAGAATCCAAAAGAGAGTGCGTTGAGATCCTTTGCAACGATGGCTGGGAACAATGCCAGTTTTAGGGAACAGCGGGCTGCAATCCTGGGTGCAGGGTTGAGTAGACCATAACAAGGAAATTTGTCGAAATAATACAGAGATTGACCGAACTTGTGGTTCGACTCTACCAAAGCCTGAGTTGGTGTGTGACTGGGAGGACGCACTGCCAAACTCCCAATGCTACAGTGCAAAGTGAATGCGGGGATCATTGTCAGGGTCGATTATCCTGGTCAAGGGAAGGCAGCCGATTGCAACATGCTTCATCTTTATGTGCTCGCGTGAGGCGTGGTCGAAGCCCGGGATATTTCGGTTCTACATGCATGTTGATGCAGGCAAGCAGTGACACTTTGCAAATACTTTTCCGACAAATTATCCCTGGGGTGATCAATGTCGCGGTCTCTATGTCGTGAATGACAAGGTCTCAGTGTGGGCGGGATGCGAGCGTGTTGAAGATCTGTGTCGGTTGCAAATGTCAATTTGCTCTCCACTGCAGTTTGAGAAGTCGCTTTCAAGTGTTACACACTTGACTCTTAGTTCCACCCACAGCCTGTGCTTCAAGCACTCATCGACAATGACATGCGGCGAAAGCAAGTGCACACGCGATGCAGAGATTTTACAGATGTTAGTTACGGAAGCTTGTGCGACTAGCAAATACTTTGACGGCCCTGTCCTGCGCACGGACTTTGCGCAAGGAGCCTGAAACATAACATAAGATATTGGACGGCGAGAAACGTGCCACTTTCTCAAGCCGCCATGTCCTCTCCGGCACCTGGAGGATGAGAGTTGAACGATGCCGTGTGGCGTGTCTTTTCTTACTGCTTGCATCAATTGCTTTTCTTGGCACGTGGAAGAATGCCCGGACGTTACCAGCATGGCGCGAATTTACAAGCTCAGTTCCAGGTCCAGCTCCAGCTCCAGCCGTTGAAGCCCTGGCAAGTCCACAAACCATGCAGACAGTGGACATCTCCCCAACGGTCCCTGAAACCCATACAGAATTTGACTTTACGCACGTTCAAGGTCTACTTGCAGGTATCGTCGGGTCGCGGGGGCCGGCGCCGACGCAGACGCAGACGCAGATGGAAGAGACCTGGAGGCCGCCTTCGCCCGCGAGTGTCGCGGCTGTAACAGCGACGACAGCGGCTCCAACGGCTCCAACGGCTCCGGCTCCGCCCCTTCGCGCAGAGCCTTTGCGAAAAACTTTGAAGTTTATACACATCACCAAGACTGGTGGGACGGCCATCGAACAGTGGGGGAAAGAGCATGGCCATCTCTGGGGTATGTATCACAAGGAGTACAGAGTGCCTGGCAGGTATCCACCAGCACCATGGCACCACTTCTTCCCTGAGCTAGATGCAGAGCTGCGGCATCGATACGACTGGTTCATGGTGGTTCGAGATCCTGTGGACCGGGCGATCTCCGAGTACTACTGTCCTTGGGCAGGTTCCCCGAGTGTCAAAACGGACACAGTGCAAGACTTCAACCGCTTCATTTTGCGAGGCCTGCGTGACAAACAGATGTGGGCGACGTACCACTGGGCGCTCATGTCCAGCTACCTGGATAGTACGTCAGTGCAGCATGTTCTGAAGAACGAGCATTTGGAGTCCGACTTTGGGAAGTTGCTGCGGATCTATGGGATCCCTTTCGACCAGCTGTACAGAACGAACAAAGCGAGAGTTGGAGGACACAAGTTCGGTCGTGAACACCTCTGGCAAGAGATGCTCGGCGTTCGTGCTTTAGCACAGGTTGGTTGCGGCCTGCATCATAATTATAACTGTGTTCGCAAGATGAGCCTGAAGAGTTGTGTCTTAGTGATGGGGCTCGGCCAAGCTCTCCTTGCTCGGCTTTTGATGAGAGTTGGGTGAAGCCCAGTTCGCATGAACCGAGGAAGCTCTGCATTTCTGTAGCAAGATCAGTGTGTGGACTGGTGATGCTCCTGATGTTGCAGAGAATGCTTCACGTAGAAGGCGTGCTTTTCGAGCCCGACTTTAGCGACGTTCTCCTCTGTTGTCAGTTTTGTGGAATGATGTATTGTGCGTTTGCCGTATCTCGAGGCCCTGCGCTAGCGGATTTTCTGTACTCTGCACCTTCGTTATTTGCCAGCACCGTTATCAACGGCACGTTTCGTTTGCCTTTGAAGTCGTTTCACCTGGTATTCGACGAAGTGCAATTTTTAGGTGACTTTCAGAACTCTTGCTTAGCTGCTTGGTTCAGGTGTGCATTACTTGGTCATGGAGCTTTTCGAGACCAAACTAAAGTCTGATGCCGTGTTTCCCTTCAAGCCTAGAAGCCCCGAGTCCAAGGACGATTCTTCAGATTTGCGAAACCTACGCCGACGACTTCGAGGCTTTTAACTACAGCATGCCTTCGCTGTGCTCACCTGCAAGATGAGGGGCAAGCGGTTCAGGATGGGTTCGCGTGGCCTTTTTGCTGGAACAGCTTTGGAGTCGCCTTGCCTGCAAGTAATTTGCAGGTTGCAGGTGGCTCGAAGGATTCACCAAGTCCTTCATTCGGGGTTGCAGAAACACTGCAGCTCCGGATGTCAACGTCACCACAGACTGCGCACAAAGTTGGCGCCGTTGGCAAAAAGATGCAAACAGACTCTGCCATGGGCATGAGGGAAGGGCCAGGACCTGGCAATTGGTGATCGGAAAGGGCATTGAGCGCAGTGCAGCAACCGGAGGACGGACAGAGTGGAAGAGGCTTCATGTTCCCACGTTTGATGCCGATTGTCATTATTTGGCCAAGGTGGGACTATTGAATTCAAGTGAGTTCTTATAAACCGCAATAGAGTAACATATGCTTCCTGTTCTCACAAGCTATACTCTGTCATCACATGCGAGCAGCTCCTCAATAGTTTGTTATCTGTGGGTGATGGCTGGCGGTCAGATGTACATCTCCTGCATTATTTGTTTGTTCGGGTTTCGCTTTCAACTGTGATTCCGTGGGAAGCGCAACGGAGCTCCACCGGTCAACCTTTCACCTAGTCCTGCCATTTTCGATGCACGTCTCAGTGCAAAGCTCAAATCTGGCCATAGCTGAGCAGGTGGAGAATGCGCTCTTGGAGCGGCTGGATTGTGGCCCGGACGCCCAGCACTGAAGAGCAGAGCCGCAGTCACGGCATGAGGCGGCATGAGGCCTGCTGCTGCTAGGTGCTAGCTCCGACCAGTGGAGCAGACTCGAAGGTTCAACAGTTGTAGCCTAGATTCACATGTGCTCAGCGAAACACCGAACTGAGCTGTTGTAGGCCTCCGCCTCGCAGGTTTCAAGCCTGAACGCCGCCCAAGACGGACAAAGGGAAAATAAATAGCTTGCAAGCATGGAAAGCAGACATTGACCAGTGCCGCGCTATGGCTTGGCCGAGTTTTTGCCTCCTCTTGGGCCTGGCGTCCACAGGCATGGTCTTTATCTTCTCGGCAAAGCTTTTCATCCGAGACCCATCGGGTCACCCTGGTCAGGCGAGAGTGCTACCGGCTTGGTGTCGACACTTGACTGCGCTGCTCTGGTCCATTCGAGGGGCTCGAGAGAGGTTTACTTGCCCAGAGACAGAGACAGGTCGAACCTGTCTACGGTAGTCTGGTGCCACTCGTGCTGAGGCCCCGCTGGCGGCGGATTCCGACAGGATCGGTGCGGCCAGGTGGGTGGCTGAAGGCTAGGGAAAACTGCAAAGGACTCCTCTTAATAATACTTCCGAAGGGGCAGCGGGATCATTGAAAGGGGGCGCGGAGTCACTGAATGGTGTGTCGCTGAATGTTGAAACGGTTTTCTGAGAGCAGCATTGTCATTCTGTCATACTTGGTCGAACCAACTTACTTGGCGTATCATGGGACTTAGTAAGTAAGTTTATAAGTACCCTAATTGGGGTTATTATTATAGTTACCTTATCTAGAACCCCAGTTACTAAGTCCCACGATCCTCCAAGTACATTGCCAACGCTGCGGAGGCTCGAAGTCTAGCTCTGCCTTGCTTTCCTCCCTCTCTCTCTCTCTCTATCTCTCTCTCTCTCTTGCATCGTTTTTGCTGTCAACTTGTTGACCTGCCGTTGAATCTCCGTTTGGTCTGAGAGCCTATCTTAATATCTTGGGAGATCGCGTTCGAGGGTCTTGGAATGAGAGATTCGATTTTTCTTGTCAGAAAACTCTTCAAACATGCCTGAGGCGCAGCTGGAGTTGCAAGCATCTGCATTGACGTCACGCCTGCCGTTCTTCTGGGACCAAATAAAGGAGACTTCTTGGCTTGGTGGAAATTCTGACAACACCGCCAACATCCACCAAGTCACACCCTACTGGCTAAATGGTGCAGTGCCACTCCATCTGCAGGTGGATAACCCTGTTTTGGCAGCAGTGGTCGAGGACTATGTGTTTCGCATTTTGGACAGGCAGGCTGCCGACGGATGGCTTGGCCCGGATACTGACCGGTCTGACTTCTATTCCCGGTATCCCTTCCTGTTGGCCATGGTCCAGTATCACGAGGGTCTTCCCGACGGAGAAAAGCGTGAACGTATCCTCCAGTCGGTGCTGCGCTTTTTCGCGGTAGTGCGACAGAGGATTGATTCGGGCCTCTTGGTTACTATCTACTCGTCCTTAAGAGCTCCCGAATTCATCTTCGTCATCCACTACTTCGTGGACTTCTTGACTGCGTCTGGACGGGATGCTCAGGACTTGCTCGATCTGGCAGAGAAGGCACCTCGGTCTCACCCCACACTAAATTCATCAGGAGGCCGTGAAGCTTATTTCTAGTCGCAGGGCTGTCGTGCAACTGGGAAGAGAGTGCATACCACTGCTCTGCAGGTTTACTACGGCTCTTTCGACTGGAACAGCATGTGGTTCAATTCCAGCTTCTTTCCAAGAACGCCCTTGCCAAAATGGGTGTCGTCCGAATCCAATGGTGTGAGCAACGCGCAGGCTGTGAAGCGGGGGGTGGTCTGGGCCCGCCAGTCTGGTGGCACTGCCGCCGGCTTCGCGGAGTCTTGGTTCGCCTGGGAGCAGCTGCAGCGTTTCCACGGGCAGGTCCATGGAGGCTTCGGTACCGACGAGCAGCTGGCGGGACGGATGCCATCACGGGGGATGGAGCTCTGCGCTGTGGTGGAGTCCATGTGGTCCATGGCCCTGGCGGCCCAGCTTGCTCCAACGGACGGGCAAGCAGCAGAAGCTTTGGACTTTTTGGAGACCTTAGCTTTCAATGCCTTGCCCGGAAGTCTCAGTGACGACCTTTGGTCGCATCCCTACCTGCAGTTTGTGAACTCCTATTTGGCAGTTTCGAACCAGCCCGAACATATTTGGGCCAGCGATGGTCCACAGGCAGCCATGTATGGCCTCGTGCCGAACTTCGAGTGCTGCACCGCCAACTTCCACCAAGGCTATCCAAAGTTTACTTCAAGCCTCTTCTTCGAAGATCCCATCGAACAGCAACTCATCTCAGCCGTTTGGGCGCCCAGCGTGGTAAATGCCAGTGTCGGGCATGCCCACGTCGAGCTCCGCACTTCCTATCCCTTCAACACGTCTCTGGAGTATTGGATCCACAATTTGAAGCCCTTTGTTCTGAAAGTGCGCCTTCCTAAATTCCTCCGCTCCGTGGCGGGCTTTGAACAGTCGCTGCACTGCTGGCTGGAGGGTCGCTATGTACACCTCCTCAAAGATCCCGGGATGCCATTCATCCGCGTTCGTGTTCGTGGTGAGTTCATTGCACTCTGAGTTCTAGATTCTAGGTCTTCTTGTGAAAGTACCAGCAACATCCGTCGATCTGTGACATGCTAGATTGCACTCGCCTTTTTGTGCAGCGCTCCTCTACCTCATCTCTTTCGAGTTGCTTTCCTCCTCAGCTCTGTTTGCTCGCCGCTCTTGGAGCATCTTTCGTCTTTTGTTTCTCTGGGTAGGGCAAAGGATGAGGGGCAGAGTGCGTCTAAGGAGCCGCAGTTCGTGAAGGACGGGTTTCTGCTCTTCCACATCTCGGCCTCAGAGAGCAATCGCCTTGCCGTTCGGATCGAATTCCCCATGGTTCCTCGCGTTGAGAGATCGGTCGACCAAGGCGTCTCCGCCTTTTTGGGACCCTTGTTGCTGGCACTGGACTTGGCGGAGCAGCATCGCTCGGTTCACTACTACGGCTTCGACTCCTCGGACTGGAACATCACGGCGAGCCTGCCCTGGCGCATGGGGATGCCTTCGGATCCCGAGCTGACGGTGAGCCGCATGGCCAAACCAGGAGAGAAGCCCATGTCAAACAGGGACTGCCCGGTGCGGGTGGAGGCCACCCTCATGGAGTTGGCCCCCGAAGACTGGCCCGAAGAGCACGGAGCACCGGGGCGCTTGAATCGCAGCTTCCATCCAAAAGCGCCCAAGGCCGTGAGACGAAGCCTGCTCCCTTACGGCTGCAGCTCCATTCGCATCTCTGCGTTTCCTGCCTTGTCCTTGTCGACCGAAGCCTTGTATGCTTGAGACAGTCAGCGTTTGGGCGCAGCAGTGAAGCTCTCCGAAGGAGTCTTACGGCTGCTCTTCGCTGGACGTGTGGTTGAAGAAGGAGAAAAAAAGCTCGGAGAAACACTGGCTTTGTGCTGTGAAAGCCAGGGTGGAACAGAAATACCTTTTTCAGCCTTAGCTGAGTTTGTGGCCTTTTACACTGCTCCCTGAGGCCTCGCAAAGACCGGGGCCGGCGGAAGCCACGGCCAAGGCTGGACGCCACGGAGGCACGTTTTTTCTGCGAGGCTTCCATGAGGATGCACCAAGAGCATTTGTGACGTGGGCTCTTCAGGGAAGAGACAACCTGGGTCGAAACTGTTGGGGTCTCCTCCTTGGCAGTGCCCTTCCCGAACGGCTCTGCAGCAAAAGGAGCTACTTGTACCTCGTCAGTGTCGGATCAAGCAGGAGAGAAGTCTGCGAAGTTTACAGCCAAAGCTTGGCGAAACCAGCCCAGCTGGCCATGGCTGGCGCAAGATTCGTCGCGCTGCTGCTGGCCTGCCTGCTACGTCAGCAAGTTGACTGTGCAAGGATTGGTGGCCAGTCCGGGAGCAACCAAACGGTGGCAGAGCCCGTCACCATCACTCTGGGCATTTTGGGAGCTCTGGGCTCAGTGTACTCCATGCGGAAGTCCTGGCAGTCGCACCTTGATCGCACTGCAAGCGGCCTCCGAAGCATGCCGGTAGTGACTAAACTTAGACCTTCCTAGTCCTAGCCGTCCTAGCCTGGAGGATCAAAAGAAGCAAGGAGCAGGATCTTGCGGCGACGAAGCTTGTCCAGGACATGGCAGAAACTTCGCGGGAACACTGCAGATTGCTCAGCAACATCGATGCCATGCTCTACAACGGGCAGCTGGGTCTGGAGGAGCTCCTCCACAACGATAAAGCAGAGCCGGAGGCACCTGGGCTAAGGCTTTCTCCCCTAAGCAATTTCGAGAAGCTGCAACTTGCAAGGTACGGCAGGCCTGTGCAGATGAGAACAGACTGCAGCACATGCAAGACGTGATGGTGCGCAGTCTTCGCGAAGAATGCTCGCATCTGGAGCTCCTCTTTCGCTGCTTCCATCTCCAGTCACTGCTGTATGTTGCTCGCCCGGAGCCCTTTCGGCATTGAACGCGACCTCCTGCAGGACGCAGCCGGGTTCCCGGAGCAGCTGGCAGAGTGCAGGAGCCTCGTAAAGAAGCTGTGAGTCATGAAGGAGGCGCTTCCGACACTGCAGTCCTACTTGTCCAGCTAAGGAGTCAGGTCGCCACGAATTTCACATACTTGGAATGCGGTCAGACCGCGCTGAAGGACTCGTGGTCCCAAAGACTGCTTTCGGCCAAGCTGAAGCGATACCGTTTGGATGCGGTAATGTCCAGACGCTTGGGACTTCCAGTAGTCGAGTGATTCTGTTCTATTCTGTTTTTGTAGTGACTAAACCTCAAACCTAAACCCCTAAACCCCTAAACCCCTAAACCCAACAAGGCGTGGTGTGGGGTCAAGGGAGCGTCGGGGTCTGGCCTTGGCTGAGGTTGGTGCACGGCGGACGAGCGCAGGGCGCCGCGAGCGACGGAGGCCTCTTTGGATTTAAAGGCGACCTCCTTGGGCCAAGGCTGGAGCAGTTTGAGAGCCATCGTTTTTTGCATGTTTTTTTGTGGTTCTTCTGAGTTGTTTTTGGTGTCGTGTTTTCGACCCAGGCCTTCGGCAGAGCACGCAAATTGGCCTGTTCGGCCTGGCTACCGCGACGCTGGGCTTGGTGAGCTTCGCCTTCTCGTTGCACCTCGGCGCAGTTCTTTTATTCAGATAAAAGAAGCCTTCTGCCTTCTCCGCTGCGCAGCGGAGCCCATGTTCCGAACCGAAGTATGGTATCGGGCATGTATGCAGGTACGAATCCGAAACCAACAAGAAGCCGGGCTTCGACATCTTGTTCCAATACATGCAGGCCCAGCAGGATGCTCGTCATAGGCAGCTTTGTCAGGATCTTACGCGGCATTGGCTGCAAGCCAGCAGGATCTATGCCTGGGGCCTGGCTATGAGATCGGACATCTACTTCCAGAGCGGACTGGCTGGGCCCATGAACACTCTGGACACGGATTCTTGGGACCGATGGCCCCTTGAGAGCAGAAGTCAGTGGGCCTGCAGCCGGCCCAAGCAGTGCCTTGTACCGCTCACCCCGAATGTTGTTGATGTGGACCCTGCCTACCCGAAGCAGCTTGGAAAGGGCTGCACAGCTGCAGGGTCATACTTTCGTGTTTGTGGCGATGGCGGCTCGACTGTCACAACAATGGTCCCCCTCGCATGCTTCTCCACATCCTTTGAGAGGCGTGGACGTAGCAGGGAGTGGACTCTATCTTTCCGTCTCAGAAACCCACAGCCACCAGGGAGCTTTGAGGATTCGAACTACGATGCCCAGGAGTGTGCGAAGCCCCTAATCGAGTTCATTGACGGGCATCGCTCTGTGGCACAAGCTCGCGACAATATTCAGCAAGTTTGCAGCCGAGCTGACACCGCTTGAGTCTCTGAGACATGCGGAGACAGGAAAACGGAGTTTAGGGTTTAGGGACACGAGCTGCGCCAGTCTTGAACACGCGGCCTGAGATCGCAGCTTGCGTTTTGTTCTGCTCTAGCTAGAGGGGACACGAAGTTTCAACCAACTTGAGAGCACAGTCTTTTGGTCCACATGAAGCTACCAGGTGACCTGCTGCCAGAATCTGAGTGGCAGAAGGGACATTTGGTTCCCATTCCTTGATTGACCAGAAGCCTCGAAGTGCTTCTGTCTCAATCGAGCAACGGCCGCAAATTCTCCCCGTAAATACTGGGTGTCAAAAGAGAGGTGGGACAAGTCTGACATTGGATGGTATTGGATTGATCAAGCAAGCATTTCACTGGAATGGTGTGAAAGTCTTTTGTTTCGACATAGATCAGAACAGTTGTAAAACTCAGACGGATGTCGGTGTTGACGTCTTCTAGCGTTGAAGTTGTTGCCGAGTACGTTCAAGCTCAGTCGGGTTGGATGCGAAGTGTGCAGACGACTAAACGCAGAGCTTGTTACCTACTGCTAATCTTGCCGAAAGATGCGTGAATGCAAATGTCATGTTGAGTTCATGCACGGAACCTTCAAAATCATAATGGGCGACATGTTCCTAGCAAATGACGTTGCAGTCGGACATTCCTTCAGTTCTTGCAACTCAAGGTCTCTGAAAAGTAAGGCCATGAGAAAGCAAGGAGGCGCTTGCAAGATTGCAATAGCATCCTTTAGGCCCACATGGCCCAGACCACAGGCACCATAGCATTGAGTCTGTTCTTAATTACAAACAGCCACCATAGCATTGATAGCTTTGCCACTGCAAGCTGAGCTGTGTTCCGGTTTCCCTACATGTCGACCTGCGAGATACATGGCAGAGGCTCTCGCGGCAGCATTTTCGTCAAACAGAGAGTCATGTTGCTGGATGCCCTAAAGCCTGAATAGCTAACCCCTAAACCCCAAACCGTAAAACCCAAAAACCTAAATAGCTGGCTTTGGTTGCAGGCTAAGTTGGCTCTGAACTTGGAGCAGGCGGCAGCTTGTGCCCACGATTTGCGGAGTCAGCAGACATAGCTACCTCAAGAGATGTGCAAAGGATCGGTAGACTCAGTGCTGCTTGGTAGGGTTGCGATTTGAGAGAAGGTTTGTGCTTGCTGCTTGATTTGGCATTCGCAGGTGTTTAGCCCAGATGACCGAGCAGACCAGGCCCATTCAAAATTGGTTTCGATTGATGTCGATATCATGGAGATCGCAGTTGTTTGCAGGCTCGCCGAGTCAGTGAGGCTTTGTTGAAGCAGGCATCACAGCCAGATGCCCAGCAGGTCTTCGCTGAAAAGAAAGAAAAGAAAGCTTGTTTCTATGCGTCTACCTGAGGGATGGCGACAGCGCTCTACGAGTGTTTGGCCTATGCAAGGCTCGCCGACTCAGAACGGATTCCGGAAAGTTCAATATGATATAAATGATACCAGTATAAGCTAATGTCGCTATAGCACACAATATTACAAGAAAAAAGATAGTTTAATATACCATAGTATTTCACAATCTAGTACAGGGTAAAGTATAGTGGTAATATGCACCCTCAGTTCCAGGCCGCAGAGGCTGACATCCTGGATGGTGAGAGATCTACTGCTCTTGAGAAGGTGCGGGGCTCTGATATTACACGGTTTAGGTTTTAGGGTTTAGGGTTTAGGGTTTTATACGATTTCGTATTATAACATCTTAGACTTGAAGCTCCACATAGGAGCCATGTCGATTGGAGGAGGAAGACCTTCCGAGTCGAACAGCCGAGGTTGAAACATGGAGTCCGAGTTAGAGTTTAGTATTTTTCCGTTTAGAATGAAGGGTTTGGGTTTTGGGTTTTGCTGTCGCTTGTTTTCCGGAATCACTTTCGACGTGTCGGCACATCAGTGCCCATCTTGTCGACTTTACCTCCAGGGAACCACGGACAGCGCCTTTTCGAAGTCTTGCCCGATCTTCTTCAGGCGGAGGTGTTTTGATAACATGTAACGCAAGGTGATGTTTGTTTCTGGGACGACTATGGGACTAAAGTGCCCGGTCGGTATTTGGTTCTCAGTAGCTCCAAAACCCCAGAGTGTGCAAAGGTGATGCGAGGCGTCTTACTCTTACAGCCAGCGGCACTGACTGTTGTAATGCGGCAGTATAGTCCATGTGACCGGCGTATGAGAGGGATTGTACGCCTAAAGCGGTATGCCAAAGAGCACTTACCATGCGAATCTTTCCGAGTTACAACAGGTAATCTGGAATGTAAACCCGATAGCTTGACTAATCGATCGGTTCTGCAGCTCAGTAGTAGCCAAAGCTTGTCTTCCCAGCTGACAGTGCAAAGCAGGAGCGTGTATTTTGCTTGTTTTGTTTTGTATATGCAAGTAAGATCCTGTATATACTAAAGGTGTGCACATTATGCAATGCAATGCAATGCAATGCAATGCAATGCAATGCAATGCAATGCAATGCAATGCAATGCACTGTATGCACCACATGCAACAGAAGGAAGGTATGTATCTATGATTATGTAAGGTATGTGCCGCACATAGCATAGTGTAATCTAGACAATGTACATAAGTTTCCAGTGTTGTGTATGCAGTGTGTGTGACCTTTTATGCCAAGCATGCTACGTTCATAACTATATGCAGCCAGACATGCAGGCAAGCAGTCGTCTTTTTCTTTGAGTTGGAGATGCAATACATGGGAGTTTCCGAAAATAGGGGACCCTAATATAGTACCCTAAATAGTAGGCCCCTTATTATAAGGACCCCAAAACAAGGTACCCCTAACCTTTGGAAACTCCCACATGCTTTCTTGACCAGAGGTGTTGTAGTATTTGGAACACAGTGTCGGAAGGTGCAGACTGCAAAGTCGCTGGCCGAGGCAAAGCTGTCTGAAAGTAACAGGTGATGGCCATAATCGTATACTTTGTGAGGAGAACTTTCTCGCAGAAGGTTCCGCTGTTGTGAAGTATGTGTCGGCAAGGAGCGGGCGAGTTGAAGCGTCAATGAGCTTGGCAGTCAATTTTGTTGATCTTGCCGGTGTATGCTGCCACAGATGACTCCAACGACAAGTTTGCTTTCAGTCTTATAGCTGCATGTTGGCGTTCGTAAATATTTCAGGTCTGGTGTCACAGCTTGCTCCATGCAAAGACGCCTGCTTCATGAGTGCAGGATTTACTCCAAAGATGCCGGCGATGAAGAGAGTTTGGACCAGGTGATCATATTTTTCTTCTTCATGTGGAGTGAAGCCTTAAAGCAGTGTGCGCATGCTGAATGGTGGGTGTCCTTACCGCTGACGCATGCAAATGCTTCTTTTCGAACGATCCTACGAATCACGTCAGCTTGGTCCTCGCGGCTGAGTGTCTGTGTGTCCAGGCGCTGGACTTTGCCTTCCAAGCTCACGGCAGCTTCCAGAAGATGGGGCCGAGAAAAGCCGAGGTGTCGGCCTCAAAGGTTTCCTAGTCCTAGACTGCCCAAACAGCGATTCGCCGTTTGGCGGTGTCGCCTTGCAAGTACGACTGTTTTTGCTGCTTGATGCGCCAAGCAGTCTAGAAAAGTTGGAAGTGAAACCTGGACAAGGCAGCGTCGATGCTGCTGCTTGGCGATATCCACGGTCTCCTGAAACAGGAGGAGACGGGAGGTGTCTCGCAGAGAGACACGGAGCTGCGTGACAGCAAACCTCTTAGGTGGCGGACAAAGCCGTCTTGTCTCCTCCGTGCGATGCTTCCGTTCTGCAGGATACAGCTGTGCGCTGTCACAAAGAGGTGGGCTGCTTCTTTGTAGCAAGCCACAGCATGTTCATCTCGCCGTAAGGCCCCCTCCGACTGTGTTGATTTCATCCGCTTGTGCACATTTCAATGTGGCAATGGCATCAGCATCGTGGTGACAGAGGCATTGACCGCCTTCAAGGAGCTCGGTGACCACAGTGTGAAGCCGAGGTTGGAAAATCGCAGGAGATGTCAGCAGAAGCTGGGTAGCTCGTCGACCATGGGAAGAAGACTGAGGATTCTGCGCTTCTGCAAGGCACAAGATTTGCAAGGCCAGAGGCTTACAACATTTTTTTCTGCATCGCTATCTCTACCGAGCTCTCCTGTCGTTATTCAGGATTACATGGCAAAAGGCCAGCATCTCCGAGCAGCTCAAGCGTGCCAAAGAGCTATCGCGAGCTATCAGGTGCTGACTGGAGCATCGGCAGACGTTTCACTCGTACATGGCTGCTTACCTTAAACCCTAAACCCAAAACGGATAAGGCCTTCACCAATAGGATCATGACTCCAAGATCACCCCAGGTCGGAGACCAACTATTCCTCCTTTACTTTTGATATACGGTAACATAGTATATTATACCATTAGACGGTGTGTAACTTAGCATGGTTTCTTGTGCAATATACTGTAACATTGAAAAGCATACGATAGTATAGTACAGCCCTAAACCCTAAATCCTAAACCCTACATTTTACGTTAATGCTATAAGCCACGTGCGCAGGCGGCCGGTGAGGCTGACCAGGCACTGGGCGACTGCTGGATCGCCCTGGCGGAGGCCAAGCTTCTTCGCACATACTACTATAATGTAACCATGAAATACCGTAGTATAACATCATAGCATGCTGTAGTGTATTATAAGATATTCTCGTACGTTTTTTTATCTAGTAGTATAGATTTGTATGCTGTTGCAGTTCTCAGTATGTTTTATTCATACTTTTCTTTTCCGTTTCTTCGACTTGAAGGCTCCGGAGTGGATTTGTGCGAATCGCCGCAGGCCCAAAGCCAGGCCACGGATTTGCCCAGAGTGCTGGAGTCCATTGCGGAGGCTCCCAGGGGTTCCTATTCCGTAGAGTCGGGTTTAGAGTTTAGGGTTTAGGGTTTGTGGACGAAGACTCCCTTAAACCACAAGCCCTAAACCCTTAACCATTCTCCGACTGCCTGCGCTGCTCGCAAAGGCCCGAAGAATCTTTGCCGGTCATCAAGATGTCGCGTCTGAGGCTCGACTGTCCTTGATTCCTCTTGTTACTATTGTTGTTACTGTTATTGTTGTCAGTTTTGTGAGTTACTATCAGTACCACTATTGCTGTTGTTGCGATTTATTCTGTTGCCTGCTAGTGCTGTTATTATTTTAAACGCTTCGCGTGATTTGTGTCGGCCCGGCTGTACTTCAAGCAGGTGCATTGTTCCGGACAGCAACAGGTAGGACACACAGGTGAGGTCCTGCTTGAAGAAAGTACATTTGCTTCAGAATGTGTTTTTTGTCAGTATTTGTTTTCATGCTGACGCTCTGAGCAACGGTCCCACCTGAAAGGTTGCACATTCCTTGCATTCTTTTGACGCTACTATAAAACTCGTATTTCACTTCTCACTACAACCTCCCACGGGTTGGAAGGGGAATAGGAAATCGAGCTTTGCAACAACGTTCAAGACACAGCCCCAGAATTCCCAGGCTTTGGCATCAACTTCACGAATGATGTCTCGCTTCGCCCGCCGCAAGGAAGAGACCGGGGGGGTGTGGGAGGGGGTGCAAAACGGCCACTTCGCCGGTTGAGGTGGGGGGGCCTTCAATAAGGGCGGTGGGACTGGGGAGGGGATTAAGAGGTGGGGAAACAGGGAATCCTTGTGGGAACCTCTGACCGCTTCGGCCGGGGCCGAGGATTGTTGAAAGTATTAGTATTACTATTGTTGTACTACGATTGTTCAACGATCTATTATATTTTTGTTATTCTTTTTATTAGTACGATCATTACCAAAATTACTGCCGTTACTATGAAGTCGAGACAGGAGACAGAGATAGAGACCTGGATCGTTAGAAATAAGTTTGGGCGATGCTTCTGGCAGGCAAAAGCCATGGGCATTTTGGTCAAGGCCTACATGCAGAATAGTCCCGGACTAAGCTAGCTCGTGGGGCGGGTTCTTCTGCGCCAAGGGTTTGAGATTTGAGAGTTTCTTGCTTCAGGGAAGTAGCAAATCACCGGCAGCCATAAACCCGAACCCATAAACCCGAAGAACCTATGCAGACGGAAAGGAGGTCAATAGAAATCCCTAACATAGTACGCTTATAGTACTCTCATAGTATTATCGTACCTTTATAGCCTTCTGGTACCCTCCACACTCAACGGCTCACTCAAGAAACGCTGCTGCCGAGACTCGCCGGCCGAAGCGGTTGACGTGGCGAAGCAGGTCGTGACGCTCTTCCACGAGGTGGGGACTCGACCCGATGCTCTCCAGGAACGGTCCGGGGAAGTTCTAATGCTAGCTGCTGCGACGACTGCTACTGTTGCTGCTACTACGACTACTACTACTACTACTACTACTACTGCTACTACTACTACGACTACTACTACTACTACTACTACTACTACTACTACTCCTGCTGCTACTACTACCACCGTTACTACTACTACTACTACTACTACTACTACTACTCCTGCTGCTGCTACTACTACTACTACTACTACTACTACTACTACTAACTACGACTAACTACGACTACTACGACTACTACTCCTACTACTACTACTACTACTACTCCTGCTGCTACTACTACCACCGTTACTACTACTACTACTACTACTACTACTACTACTACTACTCCTGCTGCTGCTACTACTAC